ATGTTATCGAAACAACGTATTGACACAATCTTGCTTCAGTTATTTTTAGTATGTATAGATACTTCGACATCTTGACGAATATATAAATAGATTGCAAATTCATATTTTTATGAATTCAGTCGAAGAAATATAAGACTGACAAAGCCTAAAAAAAAAAAAAAAAAAAAAAAAGAAAGAATTCTAGAATTTAGCTCGCTTCCAAAAACACTGGAACGAAAAGGTTACGTTGGAAATTTCATACATTTTTATGTATCATGTACATTCTGTACATTTGCACGTGTTGAAATTTTTCATAAATGTCTAAAAATTCACGACCTAGTTATATACAAAGAATAATAGAATTATCTCAGGGGACAGAGTCTGAAAAAACAGTGTTCTCGCAAGAATATCGTAAAAGAATATTTTATCATAAAAGAAAAAAAAAAGAGAAATATATGTTTCGTGTGTTTTAACGTATTATAAGATTCTCGGGTTATAACAATAGACCAGGAAGAAGGTTCCGGACGAACTCGCAAAAGGATTCTGCGCCACACTTCGTTAAATTTAGGTAAAGTATACAAAGTGTTGGCCTTTCAACTTTAATTTAAACGAAGCAGGCGGAAAGTAGTGTGGCAAAGCCAAATCTAGCGAGGAATTGTGTACCGCGGTTCCCCTTTTATGGAAGAATTGTTTGTGGCTGCGCTGTGGCATAGCATACTGCTGCGAAGATAATACTGAAAGCGTGTTTATGTTTGCTGACCGGTATGTGTAATAAAGATGATCGTAAATCGGTTGAGAGTCTGTTAGATACGAGAGCTTGAAACGCGATGAATTTTAACTAGATCTATTGCCGAACGAAATCGGACGAATGAATAATTTCAGATAGTTATTTTCGTCCAAAATTGGAGTACGAAAATTTTTCAGTCGCGTCGATCAATTTTGTAAATTATCAGTTTCCTGTGAAAATGAAATTCATTAGATTATCCGGGAATGTTCCAAAAGTGTCAATTATTGAAGGAAATTGGCGTCAACACGTCGTGCAACAGTAATGATAGAGATAAAAACGGTTCATTAATTTTTATAAAGGTATTACGTATTTCTTGAGAAAAGAAGAGAGATAGAACGTCAGCTATACATAGAACACGTAGCTGTCTGATCAATAACGGACTTTTCTACTGGAAATTTTCTCCACATTCCCAGAGACAGAACGTCTAAATACATTTCCCTCTTATCTTGCGAGTAATTACGAGCAAATTACAGGGCTCTAGCCTCCCTGTTTTAATTAACTTTGACTTCGAAGTTGACTGCCGTTTAAAATCCACTCGACCGGAATCGAGAAGAGACTTTTTAACAAACGTTCGCTCGTTGCCACCCAACATCGCGCAAGATCAGACTTAACGCATCCTTCACTGTGGCCAACAGGACGAATCAAAGTCAATTCTAGTTCGTAAGTTTAACTTCGACAGAGCTAGATCACCTCGTCTAATTGCCAACGTTAGAGGTGGCAGAAGTTCAAACTTCATCTCCGTTCGTACCTTCTTCGCGTATTTCCCTCTTTTCTCTTCATTAACATCCTTTATTTTTCCACCTCTTACAATCTCTATCTCTGACACACTCTGTTTAATTTAAACTCTCTTCCATTTCAATGAATTTTTAACAGTTTCTCGTCATTTTTTATTCAGTTAAAATTTAAATTCTTTCGTTTTAATTTTAATTATTTCTGCCTCGATGTCTTTCCACGCTAGTTCATATTATCAGTTTTTTTTATTCTTTTATTCTATTCTCTCCTATTTTATCATCGCTTCTCTACTTCGCCACTTATGCGTTCCTATATTTTATGAACATTTCTGAAATACTCGATTTCAATCGAAATGTAAGTTCTTCCATTTCAGTCGATTTGTTTTAAATTTTCTCCACCGTCGTACCTTTCTCGCACATTCCTCGTGTCTTTTTTTTCTTTCCCTTTGACATCTTTTTCTTCGTTTGTTTCTATTCTTCTGTATTCCTCGAGTTGTTTCCTTCAGTCAGAGTTTAATTTCTCCTGTGAATTCCTCAGCAAACCATTCGATTCCTCGCGTTCTGTTCATCATCCGCGCAGCTCGAGGAGGATGCTGGTTCGGAAGGAAATACCTTCGAGGCAATAGCGTTTTGACGAACCTGTTTCCGAATTACGCTGCTCGTCGACGATCTGTTGTTCGCTAATTTCACTCAGATAATTCGATTCCACTTCCTCGAAATTGACTCGCTTGCTGCGTTTAAGGAGTTCGTGACTGATCCTTAGAAGAGAAGGATTTTCAGAGAATTTACTTTCTTAAAATCATGTTCCTTCGCGGGTCGAACATACTTGCAAGCGGAAATTCAAATTCCCGAGCAAACTGGTCGTATATTTTCTATTCGTTGATTTCCACGAGTCTCTGAGATAATAATCAATTCTAATTAACCTCAAGGACAATGCTGACGTTAAATATTACGTTCTTCTCTGAGAGAATCAACTATTCGTCGTAATAACGCTTTTAGCGTTGAACAATTCAGAAGTAAGTGATTTCCAATTTTTAGTTGGAACGATTATTACTTCAATCGATTCATCCTCAACCACGAAAAATAGCTCTTCCTTCCAAAAATTGACCTACAATCGCAGAAAGCGATTCGTTATCGTCGTCAAGTGTTGCGAGCGTGAATTAAAAGAGAGGCGACCGTTCAAAATTCTTCTTCAGCCCCCTTATTAAATTTAATCGTCAAAAGATTTAATAGATCGGGTAAGTTTTGTGAAAACCGGTGTCGCGACGCGGCCGCGCGGATCGAACTTCGTTTGGATTAAGGGGAACTCTCTCTGAGAACCGACGACGACGGTGGAAAGCTTTCGGAGGCTTCTCCGAGAAACGAAGCGTTTTCGGCGCAGTCACTGATGCAAGATCCCGTCAGAATTTCCAAGATTATACTCTCCCAGTGTTCCAAAGATTATCCCCATAAAGAGATCATCGTGTTCCTCTCCCTCCTTCCTAGAGAATTCTTTTGTGGGTTATCGAAGCGTCTTATAGGTATATAACTCTATCATTCTCCCGAGAGATGGTCGCAATTAAAACGTTTCACGTGAAAGTTCTTTGTTCCTGTCTTGAAGCTGTTTTTCCGTATTTTTCTGTTTCTCTCTCTTTCTCTCTCTCTCTCTCTCTTTCTGTTGATACGTCAGTCGAATGAATCAAGCGTTTCGTGGTAGTTCCAAATAATGAAAACCACCGATAAAGTGGCAATGTTATAATTGATCGGTGAAAAGAAGGATTCGGGTATCTTTTTGTATAGTAGTTTTACTAAATTAAAAAGTTACGAATCGTGGGTTGTATAGTTCGTTGTCGTAATATTTTTATAATTTTTACGCAATCTTGTAATTGGAGAAATTTGTTTCTGGAATTTCACCTGCTTTATGACTTTCTATTGTTACGTTTTTGTAGGATTTATTGATACTGGCAACTCGCAAAATTTTACTAATAATATTAGATTAATTGTATAATTAAGCAATTGTTCAATTATCAATTCGTTTGATTTTTAAATATATAATCTATTAATTGTTTAAAATTCGGGCCATTCGAAAGTTAAATTAATAATTTGTTAAAGTTTAGTGCTATGTTTACAACATGTTTACAACATGGGACGTGAAATAGTTAAAGAACAAGGATTTAAAACTTCAGTAGTTCACAGAATTTTGCTTTCGTGTAAGCATAATTTTGTTTTCGTTGGCGTACTTTATTCATCATAAATACTCGTTAAAATGTATGGTTTTTAAATTTCCCTTTTATGTCGGTGTCACTCACGACTATAAATTTATAACTTGGTTTATATTTCATGCTGGTTTATATTTATGTTTGAATAAATTTCAAATATTTGCTTATTTTTTGCTTCACATTCGAGGACAATACATTTTCATCTCTATCTCACTCTGAGATGAGATAAACTTTTAACAGATATTTTCAAGATAAATACCAATCCAATTAATATGCAGATTATTTGTAGTATAGTATAAAAAAATTTCTCCCGCACAATTTTAATTTCGTTAATTTACTAACGTACTTATTTTCAAACGATAAAAATAAATATTTTAAACGCAGTTAATCGCGTTAAAGTATACGAAGCATTGACATAGCATTTTCTGCTATTGAAACATAATTCAAATCTTCATTTTACATAACAAGTATCAGTTACCGATTCTTAAACCTTTTTATCGAAATATACAAACCTGACATCACAATAATTGTCTCAGCAGTATTATTTAGAATCCAGAAAAAAGCAGTTAAAGTACAAATTAAAATAAATATTAGTGGATCATACACACCCAACACATAAAATGACAGTGAATGTGTTATTCTCACGTCTCCCTTATTACATCTCGTTACGAAGATGAATTATATTAAATTAATTATATCAAACTGATTTAATATATTTATGTAAATTATATCATTAAATATTTAATACATTTATATAAATTATATTATCAAATATACTATTAAAATTATATATTTAATATAATTTTGCGTCACATTAAATCGAACAAAAGAACGAAAGCAACATGTTTCATCGAACTTTTCACTGCGATTAAGACTCGGCTGTTACCGGAAACATCGATTAGGCTGCATTAAACCGAGAACGATCGGTTTTATCGGTTTTTAAAAAGCGGAAGAGAGTTCAGTGTTAGTAAGTGCAGTAAGTTAGCGATGATTACGTGGTAATAAGCATGAGCTCTGAGAAGTCACTGTGAGAATGATCGTTTCTCATCTGTCTAACCAGTGCTGCTTTTATTTAAGCTTCTCCTCGGATTTCCATCCCCGCATAGTGACAAATTATTTTTTGAAATCCGCGAGAGCGAGTCCGGAGATCGAGAAGTTCGTTGCATCTCGTTAGCAAACACATGGAAGGCGAAGTCCGGGTTAATGGAGTCGGATTAGTCGCGACGTTGCTTGCGAAACAAATAATTAGTGAGCGCGTCGTATTGTAAGTTTTCAGCGGAGTTCAGCTTTCATCACGTAACTCACGTCTGGCACATTAGTGTCAACATCTTCCGAACTGTGGAACAACTCGTTATCGATATCGCCTGAGCCAGGATCCTCGTCTAGGTCGAACTATAAAAGAAATTTCTCATTAGAGTCGAGGCTTTCTCGGGGTGGCCGATCGAGAAAATTGGGGAAATTTGAGTTAATTTGTAGGAAAATTCGCGGTTGCGTTTGTCATTCGACACTCTTTGTTGTAAGGATCAAGATTGCTATATTAAAAATTTCCATTCCAATACTTTTGAGTGTTACTCGAGAATTACATTTGTTACATAGATATAGATATGTGTAATTCGATTTTATTGGAAAGACAGAAATACACTTACACATTCTCGTTAATATTAGTTAGCTATTTTTCTTCAGGTGACTTAACCTTTGAACGATTTTACGCGGTTTACTCAAATTACCGGGTGTAGTATAAGCGTAGTTAGATTCGTGTACTTTTAATTATTTAAAAAATTGAATAATTGAATAAATTATGATCAAATATCGCTGGAAAGTCTTAGAAGAAACTTTTAGAAGTTTCTCTTTTTTCTCTTAACGTGGGGTATTAATTTTCGAACGCTATCATCACGTAAAAATTCCATTTTGTTTTAATATTATCGCGATGTATCTCTCCTACTAAAAAAAAAATCTAACGTCATTAAACAATTAAATAAGAAATATCTAATTTTCGTATTTCTTCAATGTTGTTAATTGCTAAAATAAAAAGGAAATGTAAGTATCGCGACAAAGTTGACGACAAATAATTTAAACTTCCCCGTATTGATTTCTGACATTTCTTCGACTTTGTTAAAAGAAAGCGGCTGAACCAGAGTGAAATTTCTGTTAAGTAGCTTTCGAATTACCGCCAGGAGGAAGGCTGAAGAGACGTTTCATTTTATATCGTGTCGATAAATACCATTAAATGATACGATAACGTGTTCCGATATAGTGTATCATAGGTAAGTACGTGCGTCACTGATACCGGCGCCGTAATTATATGTTATATCAATGATACGAGCGAGATAATTAATTATCTCTAATATTCCGCGGGTGCACATCGGTATCCTTATGCTCGTTTTACATTAAACATACCAATGTAAATTTACGCGGCGCAAAATGGACGGGTTAAGGGTACACGTAATTGCAAGCCGAGCGAGGCCAAATGTCGAGGCGATACAGAGTTAAACAAACTGGATTAATCTCTCGGTATCCCATCAGTTCCTCTGAGGGGAAATCACTCTTCCATTATTATTGTTTCGCACACGCTCTGCGCGAACGTCTGCTAGAAATCACGCGTGCGATTTCTAATCGTATCACCATTTTTTCAAGCAACGAGAAAGTAACTGGCTGCCGACATTCTTCGTTAATTTTAATCCCAATCATTTCAATTTTCTTTACTCTCTCTCTCTCTCTCTCTCTCTCTCTCTCTTTCATAAATTTGACCATGTCGATCTTATTTTAATCATTTTCGTTCGTATTGGTTAAACAATTGTATCGAGGCAATTTCGAAGAAACGATTTTCTCTCGCGGAAAATGAGGTTGAACACTTGGCAGGTTCATAGTTCAATTGCGCGCTCTCGATTCGCGCGGACTTCAACCTCGATTCGACGATTTTTAATATCAATTAAAAAACTTTAAATCGCGAAAGCTCCGACGAGCTTTCACGTATCGTAGATATTTAATAACGTTAAAAGTATAATTTTCATCGCTTTATATACGAGACGAATATTTTTATAAACTCGTACGGTGAACCTATTCGAGACGGACGGAAATGTCAGCACTTTTTTCGAAATACAATTTATAAAACATACTCGTCAATTTTTAATACCATTCTTTTGTAAATGGGAGGAATGCCTTTAGAATACGCCGAGCGTGTATTTCTATACATTTAACACGTATCCCCGTAACAGCTTTTATCGAAATTAAATTATCAACTCATTTCATAGACGGAATAAACCGGGATTTGAAATCCGGCGATCGTTGCATTAATCACGCCGGAATTAACGAAACGCAATTAAAACGTCCGATCAAATTCCATTGTCGCCTTTTTATCGTATCGTGCATTGAATACTCGGGATTTAAGCGGTCCCCACATCCTCCCCTTAATTCTCCGCGAGCCGTCACTATTTATTTAGAATTATTCGCTTCTATTTTGCATACGATAAAAGACATTGCGTAATTCTCTCTATCTGGATTTTTATCAATCGTTCGAGGAAGCGAGGAAATGGTTTACGCTTGATCGCAATTTTCCATTTTGACGAAATGGAAGGAATGGAAAAAAATTAATAACTGGCGTGTGAGTGGATTGCTTGGCGACGGCCCGGCGATATAATTATAAAATGAAACAACGAGAGTGTGCTATTTTTAAATGATACTGCAAGCCATGGGAAATTAACTAGCACGCTTAACTGCTTAATCTCTCAAGTGTTCACTGGATTACAGGAAATTCCAATCTCAAATCAAACTTTACTTTATCTCGTTACTTTGTTGTTATATATACACTGTCGGACGAAAAGATAGCACAGCTGCAATTTTCAAGAAATTTTATACTTATACAAAGTTTCACTTAACTTTTTAATGGTACCGATACACGTCTATCTCAAATAACAGAATGAACAGTTAAACACGTGAGTAATTAATGTCAGTCGTATTTTTTATAATAATTAATGTAATATTATAAAAAGATTAATATATAAAATATATATAAATATAATTATATTTAATATATAAAATATATTAAATATATTTTTTACAATAATTAAAATATTGTAAAAAAATTAATATATAAAAAATATATAAATATAGTTATATTTAATATATATAAATATATTAAATATATTTTTTATAAAAATAAAATAATTCGTATTTTTTATAATAATTAAAATATTATAAAAAATTAATATATAAAATATATATAAATATAATTATATTTAATATATATAAATATATTTTTTACAATAATTAAAATAATATTATAAAAAGATTAATATATAGAATACATAAAAATATATAAATATAATTATGTATGTTTTGTATAATTAATGAATTACAATATAATAAAATTAATTATTATAATTAATTATATATATTACAATATAATTGATGAATTATATATCTGTTCGTCCATTATAATCAATCGCAGCCCACTAACACAAAAGTGCCATTTGTCGACGAATTTTCGACAACTGTTTTTCTCTAATGTCACGAAAGTAATAATTAATACCCTGAGAACCATCCAAATGAAATTTCTTTTCGTCTTATCACTCAAAATTCGGCGATAGCCGAACCAGTGTGCTATTTTTTTGTCCGACAGCGTTTCTAAAATTACGAATAGAAAAAAAAAAATAATTTTTGTACTTGCGACAAAAGGTTAAACGCACAATAGTCGGAAAACGGAATATTATTTCAAGGCAACGCGCGACAGACCTGTTGTACCGCGCAGTTGGACCTTAAAGGGTTAAGCTAGGAGTTTGACTTTCTGTTCGGTAGAACGACGCAGAATACGAAAAGCCGTTCTCTTTTGTTCCTGACGCGTCTACGTTAAAGATACGAGGCTTTCTTTTCAACGAAACGCGACTTAATTGGAGAGAAAATGGGTAAAACCATGCGCAATAGGATATTCTCGTTGGGCGATTAAATTTTTCATCATCGGGTTACGCGTCGACTTCTTGCTGTGCGAAGGCTATCGAAAATAAAAATCCTTTCGCCCGACAAAGAGCATTCGAAGTTTCAGTCATATGCTCGGAGCATTCGTCGAACAGAATGCGAACGCGGCAGCAAAGTCGCCGTTTCTGAACGAAATTAGAAATTAATCCACTTAAACGCTCATCCATCCCGTGTTAACACGGACGCTGCCATTCCATATGTACGGGAGCAGACAACCGAACCGAGCCTTAATTAATCTCATTCCAGCGATTTCTGATCCAACACAGCCCACGTTTTCCCTTTTCAATTATTCAAACGGCCAAGATCCGGCGTCGATTGCTCGCCAGTTTCGCCGCGGAGGCGGCCAATTTGTTTAATCCAGAGCCCCCGCGGAAAATTCATTAATATCTTAGCGGCAGCCCCGCTACGAAATTCGATTAATCAAACGAACTCGAATGCATATTTATCGGGCGTACGGAATATTTCAATTTTCCTAGCTGGCCTTTAAACGCTTCCCCCCCTCCCTTCTTTTCTCCTTTCACTGGAGGACGAGAAGACGTGAAAGATTCGTGATCGTAAGAGCGATTATTTATCAAAACATCGAACAAAGGAATATTTACGGAGAAGAAGCTTTTTTCACGATACAGACGATAGTTTGCATATAAATTGCGTTCGATTTTCGTTTGCCCGTTTTCGTCGGCAGAGGTTGGTTAATTTTTTGCAAGAACGTTGCGGAGAGGGAGCAGTAAAGTCTATTAAAAATAATTTTTCTTAGTATTAATATAACTATTATTATAAATATTATACAAAAATTTATTAATTCATCTTCATAAAAATAAATTATATTTAATATTAATCTGTTATTTAATAAGTTTCTTATATTTTCGAATTGAATAAGAAATAGTTAATATTGTCCTAAATAATAATATAATTAAACAAAAGATTCTTACTTTTTTTTAAAAAATAAATCTCAATTATTGAATCTTTTGAGTAAAATTCAACTAAAAAAGGAACGCAACATTATTAAAGAAAATATAATAATTATTCTTTTTATAAGATAAATATAATATATTCTTTTATAAAAAGGAAAAATTTGAATACCATTTACATAATGAATAAACCTACCTACACATATGAATTTATTATTGATTTAAATAAAGCATGAATAAATAAATGTAGAAATGTTAATTCATTTAATCACAAACATAATATTCTTATTATAAATCCTATTTAATTGACTTAATGTAGAAAAAGCAATAATTTTTTAAAAAATCTATTTCAAAATTAGCTATTAATCATGAAATTAATATTGTTAAAAACTAATAAAAACTAATAACTAATAGAATAAAATTTTTATATTCTATATTCAATAAATTTTCATATCAAATTATTAAATAAATTCCTGCAGTTGGTAATTAAACAAAAAATGGAAGTTGTGCCCA